CCCTGGGTTCGAACCCGACATACATTTAAATAGGATTTTTTTTTTTCAAAAACACCGGCACCCCAAGGGTTGATATCACTTCTGCTGTTGCGAACCCTCGTAAAAATAAAAAAAAAATAAAAAAATGTTCAAACAGCTTATCAGCAAGATAAATCTAATGTGAAGTTACGTTAGTTTTTTTTAGGATAGAATAAATTGTACATGTGCAATACAATATATACAATAATTTTAGAATCTAGGGAAAGTGACGTTTCACTATGGCTTCCTACTAATTACAAATAATTATTTTTATATACAAAGAGGTAAGAGAAATTCCATAATAATTTGTTCAAAAAGCCGCATGCAGAGTATGAAGTTACTTTAGTTTTATTTATACAAACTAAAATTTATTTGGAGGTCACGACTTGTTCTAAAGTCTGAAACATTTCCTTTCTCAGAATCAGAATTGTGATTCAACGAGTCCATTACAATTTGCACTTTAAAGAGACCGAGATTCTTATCCCCCGAGAATTCTCTAAATCTGTAAAAGGTTCCGCTCCGAATTTTGCAATTTTACGACATTTATAAAACCGTCGCGCCGTGATCACCTGTGAACGATGTCCGAAAAAAAATTGAACATAATTATTTTTTCTTGAAATTCAACTCCTTATCTTGACTGTTCAAATTCGTTAAGTCATTCTCGTGGGAATTTTAATCAATCAAAGGGTGATAAGTTTAAATAATAATTAGTTAATTTGAAAATATCAAGGGAAGGACTCGTTTCACCCAGACGTTTCGTTACACTCGGTTTGAACTTTACCTTTCTTTATACTTTCATCTCAGAGCTAGCCTGATTTGCATAATATGCAGTCAAGGATAAAACGGTTCGAACCCAATTCCACCTAGGCAAATGAATTGCACTGAATTAGTAATTGACATATCTATTGGTTCTGGTTACGATAAACCACGTTCTACTTGTCCGCTGTGATCTTATATTTGGGTCGTGACTGATTTATTTTATACGACTCCTTCGTTTATCGACGAATATTCGTGCCTATCTCCGTGCGTTTTGATTCAGAAACCTTACGAAATATACATTTTTTTCCTTTGAACATCGCATAATTACTTCCCAGAGAAAACAATAGCTCTATGACTCGCACAAAATGGTTAATTTATTCTTCAGTTCGTACAACAACAAACACCATGGGCTATTTGACATAATTTCAAAGCAAGAAAATTTAACTTACGAAAAACGAGAAATACAAAATAACTAACTTTTGCATCTAATATTCAAAGCTCAGCGTAGATAATGCTGTATAAAATATCAAAAAAGTGACATATCGCGAGTATTGCAGGGGTTAATGTGTATAAATGATTTGTAGATAATAATATTCAGAAATGACGCAACTATCATATTTCCATTTTAAATGTTTATATTGCATTTATATTCTTATTAGAACCATTGTAATAAAATGTTAACAATCAAACCTTAATGAATAGTCGTAATAAAGCTTGAAAAACCATTAATTTATTATCTCAAAATTTATGTCTTAGTAAGTATTTTTTTTAGAGAAATAGTGTACAACTTGTAAAATTTAAAGGGGCAAAGCAAATTAAATGTATTTGTAGGTAAAACTCACAAGATATGGACTGTGTTTATTTATTTGAAGAAACTTAAAACCTCGTCAAAACGTGATTATTTTATTCCATATATAAAATTATTTACTTTTATACATGTAAAAATCAATATACTTAAGCTTAGAAAAAACTTAAAAATATAAAAGTAATTCGAGTTATGATCTATTACATATTTTTTAAATAAAATAATCCACTTTCTCTTTGTATTTGGTTTTTTTAATGATCTATATTTACTCGGAATCATAAAAAATGTAAGATATGTTTATTATTCATAAATAAATGTTAGCTGGAAAGGAGTTATAAGTCTATAAGTTGGTGCATTTATGGTATTATTTTTACAGGACATTCAGCCCAATTTATCATGTTAATATTCTGTATTTAAATACAGAAAAAATAAATAAAATAATTCAGTATTTTAGTAATAAATGTAGAATATATTCTATCCATATTCTGTTTTCGTTCTATTGTAGTTGTACTGTTTCTGAACATCCCGGACAGCTCAACCTCGTTAGATTGTTGTATGTAACACTGCTCCTTAAAAAAACACCTGCCCATGAAGGACGCATTATAAGACACCAAGCAAACGTATTTTCACTTGTACAGACAATAATTGTCATAAAATCAGCTAACCAGGAAATGTCTAACTGTTGACCTATTGTTATTTCCGATTTATACTTCTTGACATCATATGCCATGTTCATCTTCATCCTTATTACTTATAAAATCAGGGATAAGGCGAATGTGAAGGAAAAACCTCTCAGCTTCTTCGTCAAGCTTTGGAGGAATATAACCGCGATCAAGACTTTGAAACTATCTTTAATGATTTACACCTATTAACAAATATACATTTCTAATTAAATATTAGCAATTAAATTAATAAATTTCATTTAATACATTAGTATTTTTGAAAAAAAAAATATACAGAGGCAATACTGTTACATTGGTTTCCCTTGACAAATTTTAGCAATTTAGGTTCGAAAAAAAATCTCTGATGAGTTTAAATGTTTGGATTACTTTCACCGTTTGCATACACGTACATATTAATTTAATTGTTTGTAGGGATTAAGTGAATTTGAAAGAAAGAAAAAGACTCAGTCCCTTCGCCAAGCTTTCTAAAAAATCTATCCTTTTCATCAGGGCTTTGAAACTATTTCTACTGATTCACACGGTTCGCAAATGTAAACATTTACTTAGTCTTAAAAAATATGTTTTCAACCAACACGAACTTACAATGACAATCGTAGTGGATTCATTGTAGTGTACTTTTGGTAGATCTAGTCCACACTACGCTTTAGTTCCTATGCTTCTAACTCTTTATAAAATAAAATGAAAAATATGTCCTATTTATTTATTTATAAGGAATCAATATTACATTTTATAATTGGATGTAATGCAAAAAAGTCTCATTGCTTTTTTGTTCTTAAGTTAAATACGTTTAAATCGATAAAGTTGAAAATTCCCTTTTGACAAATGTAAACGCTATGAATATATTTGTTTAAATAATAAACAATTAAGTCGTTATACAGGCTAATTTCTGTTCAAAAGGTAAATCTTATGCTTTCTTCTTGTGTAGTAACCAGTTTAATATAGAAAATAAAACATTAATCCTGAAACTATCGAATGGATTATTTTTACAAGAGTAGTGTTTTTGTTTGCAAACAAACCTTACTGTTTTTCCTTTGTTGAAAATATATTTTTCCTAATAAATGGGTGGATCATCATAGCAAGAAGGCTTTAGGAATAGGAGTGTTTTATAATACAATCAATTTTGGAAAAGGTATAATTAATTTATTTTATCTATGGAAAGAACATTTACATAATAAGATATAAAATACTTTATACTGAATTCACTATTTTTCGTGGTCCGCTTGACCAATTATTAACATTCAATTAATTAAGATTTTATTTCAACTTAAAAACCTTAATTAATTGAATGTTTCTGGTAAACTAGTTAGAGTTCATTCAAGGATATATAAACAAAATATATAAGCATATATGAAAATTTTCCCTACATGAAAATATTAACGTATGAAAATCCAGTATGAAAAAACGTAAAAATGCTAACATACGATTTATTAGCTAAATGTGTTATTGAATTCATTTTTTTTTCTTCAGAAATATATCAATATACCTATCTGTATACATAATATAGTTCAAAGTAGGTAGAAAAGATAGGATAACATGTTAGCAGTTAATGTAGGTCAGTTTATCAGTCGAATACTAAAAAAAAAGATATAAATAGAAGGCTTTTAGAAATATAAAATAATATTTCCGTTCGATTAAGAACGTGATTTATAAAAGATTTCACGGTCACGATCTGTTGTTGTTGCATTTATGTTATTCAAAATAGAAAATTTCAACAAATATTTTGCCAATGATGTTTGCGTTTAAGATTAAGCTTAAAGTTAATTCCGGCTAATTTTCGGCTTTAAAACATATCTTAGAGTTCGAAACAATTAATTTCCGGCTTGTCATTGAAAACTGGCCGTCAACGAGCTTTGTTGTTTCGGGATGGATTGACGTGGGAATAGTTTTTCCGACGTTAAACGCCTCCGGTCAATCCGCAAATCATCTAAGCCGACAGGGTTTCTCAAAGGCTTAGGGAAACGATTAAGACTTAAAATTACTATGGTTTGTAATAAACCCCTCATTTTTCGTATTTAATATAAGATTAAGAATTAATTATATTTAAGACTCTTTTGTCCAGATTCAAGACGTATTTTGACTTCGAGTCGAAAACAAGTTATTTGTAAATAACGTGCAATTGTAAAAGTTTACATCGACCAGATTAACGTTTTCTGCGTTCGAGTACAAAAAATGTATTATTTCCAAATAATGTGCAATTGAAAAAGTTGACATCTATTTCAAAATTAGGCTAAACACTAAGCAGACCATTAGATATTTTTCAAGTTTCAAAATACTTGGCAATATTGTCCAAATGAATAGGAAGAGTTTTTCTTTGGCTGTGATTTCATTCTCATTCATTTGCTAAAAATATCTATTCTTTAAATAATTATTTTAGCAGTGCCTTAGGCTGACAGGCAAAGCATTGAAATCTTGGTAGTGTATGCTACACTGGTGGCTTCATAGTTAGCACAAATTTTAGGTATTTTCTTTGTTATCTTCTAGATTTAATCTGTGTTAAAAAAATACTAAGTATTTATATGTGTTTCATTACTAGAACTTCAGCATTTATTTTGAATGTGAATTTGTGTTTTTTCATATGTCATGTCCGCATATATTTTAACACCGTAGGTAAATAGTGTTAAATTTTGTTACTATGAATAATAGCGAAGTTATGTAAAACGAAGTTGCGACTTAACACACAACGCGATAAGCGATCAATACTATTCTTATTTAAAATAAACATGATAAAAACTTGCCTTGTTCAACGAAGGTAAAGTTAGATGGTCAACACCCCTAAGGGTGCATGGTGGTTGTGGGTTCGACATGTCTACTCGAAAGGTTTTGGTCCACTGAAGAGTCTTACTTCACCGCCAGCTGACTTTGTAGTTGTAGGGGGACATGCGCTGTCGTCAACACCCCTCTTCGCCTTTCTACCTCTTCGGATTCAAACGAGCCAAGTATTCATTTGCTAATTGGAAAATAAAGATTTAATATTAAGCCGTGTCAAGTTCGAGGATTGTTTGTACATATAATTAACAGATTTGGCATATATGTACTTTTTCGTCGTCATATTTTAACTTAATTTTTTTTTCTATAAATCAATTTGTCTATAAAATAATAATTCAATAGTGATTTGTAATTGGATTTGTCAAAATTAGTTTTTATAACATTAAAATTTCAAAAAAAAATTCCGCAAATTTGGCCAAAAATATTTAAGAGTGAACAATCATAGGTCTAATTTATAAAACTAAAGGTTTCTTGTTCTTTTGAACTTTTCGCTATTCATAAAATCGACAGTGACCATTGGCGAAAGCAACAGAAAAATAATTTCCTACTCTCCAATTGAAGGAAATAAAAAATATAGCGAATGCAATGTGCAATCAGAAAACATTAAACTGTTGTTTATTTAAATATATATAACATATAGAACAATAAACTGTAAAACCTGTGAATAGTGAATTGTTTTTCCTTTTTTTTTAAATTTTGATTCGGATTGATTATAAACTATTCCGTTTTATTTTTTTGTTTGGAAATTATTTAAAAAAATATTGGGTTGTCCGGAAAATAATGCAGGATTTTAAGTTTTCATTAAAAAAAATCTATATAAAATATTCTGTTTACGTTTACAGGATTACTCATTTGTATGAATGTCAACACTTATTAATCCTCTTCCAAATGATATTGTTTGTTTACCTCTGTAGCATTCCGCTACTTGGAAATAATTCAGTCATCCTTATAATGTCAAAGCGAGAATTTCGTACGATTTTCTTTTACGAGTTTAAACTCGGCCGAAGCGGAGCCCAAACGGCTAGAAACATTAACCAAGTCTGGGGCGAGGGTTGTGTTAATGAGTGCACTGTGCTAAGGTGGTTTAAAAAATTTCGGGAGGGAGATTTCAGCCTTGAAGATGAAGAAGGTCGTGGAAGGCCTTCCTCTCTTAATGATGATGTTCTGCGATCAGTGGTGGAAGAAAACCCCAAAACAACTGTTCGAGAACTTGCAGAGCAACTCAAAGTCAGTAAAACGACCGTCGCTGACCACCTCAAGGCGATTGGAAAAGTGAAAAAACTCGAAAATTGGGTTCCACACTCATTAAACGATCGCCAAAAAAATCAGCGCTTTGATGTTTGTGCATCACTTCTTTGTCGAAACAAAAATGACCCATTTCTGGCCAGAATTGTTACATGTGACGAAAAGTGGATTCTCTACGATAACACTAGACGTTCTGGACAGTGGCTCGACAAAGGAGAAGCTCCAAAGCCCCCAACTCATCAAAAAAAGGTAATGGTTACGGTATGGTGGGCTTCATTTGGTTTAATACACTACAGCTTCTTAAATCCTGGCGAAACCATCAATGCTGAATCATACTGTAACCAAATTAATACCATGCATCAGAAATTGGCAGTAATGAAGCCCTCTTTGGTCAATCGGAAAGGGCCCATTTTGTTGCATGACAACGCTCGACCACATGTGTCACGTGTAACGTCACAAAAATTATTGGAGCTTGGCTATGAAACTTTGCCTCACCCACCCTACTCTCCGGACCTCTCGCCTACTGACTACCATTTTTTTAGACACCTGGACCACTACTTACAACACATAATATTCAAAAATCAAACGGAACTGGAAAATGCATTTATTGACTTTATCAATTCTAAAAATTCTGAATTCTACTCAGACGGAATTAATAAGTTACCAACACGTTGGGAGAAATGTATTGAGAGTATGGGAAATTATTTTGATTAAAGAACATTGCTTTAAAGTAACTAGTTTCTTTTTTTTTGTTTAATACCAAAATCCTGCATTATTTTCCGGACAACCCAATAGGACTGGTTTTAATTTGTTACGTAGAATTTGAAGTGAACATTCTTTTTCAACGTACGGTACGTTTCCAGGGCTCAGCAACTTTTTTTTCAAATGGGAAAATATCATTTCGATTAAGGAATTAATTTCTACGACTTTTTTAAAGTAGATTTTACTTCGGGCACTTTTCTTGTAGAGTTTGTCGTTTAAGAGTTATTAAAGATTGAAAGAAAAAAATAATAATAATAAAAAGTTCAAATTTTATTTAGCTCAATCTCATTCATTTATCTCCTAGTAACTATAAGGTGATTATTTATAAATTATCCCCTTTTATTTCTTTTGTTTGGAAATAATTTAAAAAAATAGGATTGGTTTTAATTTTTTACGCAGAATCTGAATCTGAAGTCAAATTTTTTTCAACGTGCCGTACGTCGCCAGGACTCAGCAACAGTTTTTTTTTTTTTTTTCAAATGGGAAAGTATCATTTTCAATATGGAATTAGACGACGTTTTTAAAGAAGATTTTCCTTCTGGCACTTTTCTTGTAGAGTTTGTTGTTTAAGAGTTATTAAAGATTGAAAGAAAAAAATAATAATAAAAAGTTCAAATTTTATTTATCATTCATTTATCTCCTAGTAACTTTAAGTTAATTATTAATTCAATTACCTCCTAGTGACTTTATTAAGTTATTCCTAGTAAATTAAATTTTCAAAATAGGCACCACCGATCCCCACACAAAACAAAATCCTGTTATGGAATCCATTTCGCACTTCACGGAAAGTTGTGTTATGTGAATTAGAATTATCCCAGTATCGGCAATTGTGACGATTCATCTGTTAATATTAGCTGGAGATGAACCAAAATAAATTAATTATCTCTTAATTCCTTAAAATCAACTCAGAGAAATTATCCAATGTTTACTCACAAACCAAAGAATTGAATCATCACAATTTTGAATCGTGCCATTTTGAAAATTTAATTTACTCGGATTAATTTAATAAAATTACTAGGAGGTAATTTAATTAGTAATTAGTAAGTAATTTGAAGTTACTATGAGGTCAAGGAATGACGATTGAGATAAATAAAATTTGAACTTTTTTGTTTCAAACCTTAGTAACTCTTAAAACGACAAACTCTACAAGAAAAAAGTCGTAGAATTTAATTCCGTATTGAAAATGATACAATTTTTTCCCCATTTGAAAAAAAAAAGTTGCTGAGCCTTGGGGAAAAAATTTAGATTCTACTTAAAAAATCCAGTCCTATTTGTTTTTAATTATTTCCAAACAAAAGCAATGAAAGGGTGTAGTTCATAAATAATCACCCAGTATACAGGGTATCCCACGGAAGATCCCCCCCCTTAACTTCCCTAATTTTGGTCCGATTTTGATAAATCTGTTTTGACCATTTTCGGTATGAAGTCTAGTTTTTAGATATTTCCACGGTTAGTAACTTTTAGGCTCATTTTATGACATAAAAAACGCCCTACCTAAAGTTTTTAAAATGAGATGCCCCATTTTTATTTCGGATTTCATAGCTAGATAATAAATTATTCGATTTTTATATACAATTATTGTTATCCTTGGTAATTGCTATTTATTAAATTGGTGGTCTGATTGACCAAATAACTTCTTTCAATTAATTAATCTTTATGTAAGGTTTGGTTGAAATAAAACAGCTAGTGTCACGAGCGGGATTCGAACCCACGACCTATCGTCCCGATAGTTCAAGTGGTAGAGCAGCGGCTATTTAGCCGAAGGTCCTGGGTACGAATCCCGCTCGACACTAGCTTTTTATTTCAACCAATACCTAACATAAAGAATAATTAATTGAAATTTTTTATTTGAATCTCTGTTTCCTTTTACTTTTAGGAAAATTTTGTTTATTTGTAAAATTAAATAGTATCATATTTTCTAATTTTGTTTTTATTTATATACATATTTGTTTTGTATAATAGGATTACTATTGCACGACGGATAAACGCAATGCGTTCTGTGTTGTAATGTCTGGAATTGTTTTATAAATGTAAATAGTCGTTCCAAATCATGTTTACTCATTTTAATTTGTTTTGTTCAAAAACGTTTTTTTTTCTTCAAAAAATAGGTCAGCAGGAATTCTCTTTAAATTTATATTTGTTTTAACACTTTCCCCTGCAATTTCACAGTTTTGGGAAATGAAATTTGTTAATGGGCAGACCAACAAAACCGGATATAGTTATAAAACATAAGAGGGAAGGAATAGATTGAATCGTTTATTTTCATGGTAACGCTTATTGGTTACGAGTAAACAAAAAAGACCTGCATTATTGAGTAGAAATGGAAAATATATCGCCATAACAACGCAAATTTCGTTGGCACCAAAAATTGTTCCACTCTTGAATCTGCCTCAATTTACCATATTTTCCGTTCATATTGCGTTTATACGATTGAAAATATTTTAAACAAAAGATCAAATTGTCGAGTCAGCATTGCCGATTTATAAAAAGGAGGCATAATAATGACCCAAGATGGCTAGAGTATAAACTGCGCAAAAATGAATAGGGGTAATATTACCTCCATGAAAATGCCAATCTCTAGCATTTTTATTTTTATTGTAAATTGCATGAAAATTTATTAGAAATTATTTTGTTTTTTACTGAAGGAAAATTTAATAAAGGGATTTTGAAAAATAACAAAATAAAAGGTTGTAAATCCATAATTTTGTTTATTGGACTCAATTTTTTGTAAACAATTAATACCGTCTGTTATGTCCTCTGTTACCGAAAATATTTGTGCATCTGTTAATAAGGTTGTCTAAATTTCATAAGGAATTTCATTCAATAGATGATGCAAAGTTGCACTCAGTTGTTGCAGGTCAACTAGCTGCGGATGTTGATGGAAAACCCTTCTCTGCAACGCATCCCACATGTGCTCAATGGGATTGAGGTCTGGAGACAATGAGAGAAGGGACAGATGGGAAATTCTCAGGTTTTCCAAACATTGATGAACAACTTTGTTACTAAGAGGTCTGGCATTGTCATCCAGAAATCGAAAATCCCTGCCAATGAGATCCCTGGTTTGAGGGATGTATTCCTGGGTCATTGTACGCATCCACTGTCCTCGGCGTTCTCTATCACTATACAGACAGAAACGCTACTCATCAGTAAACAGCATTCCAATTGTTGTTCTTTTCTAAGCGCTTGCTACACCTTGGTAGCGGGCTGTTGCTGCTGGTCGTCTCAAAGGGGCATACCATGTGAGGCCAACTTCCCACAAACGATTAAGAATCGTTTATGTTGATGAAGGCCTTGACAAAATACACTATTGAAAGAGTTCCGTCATGCAACAATGACAATATTTCTGTCTTCCCTTAGCGTCGTAATGTGGATCCACCAGGCCTCCAGTTTCTCGGACTTGGTCTAAAGCCTGGGAGGTATGCTGTGAGAAACGCCAACTGCCTCCACGATATCCACTTGATGGTGACCTCGATGACTCATTCTAACAATAATGTTGCGAAATTCTGGTTCAAGATGATGTCGTTCCAAGGTTAAAGAGAACACAAATGGATTGAAATGGTGGAAAGACGGGAAAAGGTGGTTTTTTTTGGTTTTTTTTGCTGGGGCTTCCGACATCTAGGTCATTTCAGCCCCCCGCTAAGTCTATATTCTATATTCTATACTCGTTCAAACACAACATTCATACAAATAAATACATTCATACACTTAAATACATCCATACAGTGCACTCATTCCGTTGGGAAAAGGTGTTAGTTTACAAAATAAGTAATTTCAACTAACAAGAATATATCGGTTCATTTAATTGAAATTAAGAAAATAAGAATAAATTACAAATATCTCTATTCATTTTTGAGCAGCTTATTATGAACGTAGTTCTAAATGAAAAGCATCGTATTTCCATTTCAAGGCCTGTTACGACGTTGGTGACTATCCGGACTTTCCATACACGTGGTTATAAGTCATTACATTTGACAAAAGTATTCTGCTCGTATTTTTAGCCTTTTTTTAGGAAGGAGACCGAAGGGAATTCCGTAAAGACGGCAGGGAGATAAAAATGAACACATAGGACGAATGTGTTTTCAAACAAAATGGATTTAAAACGTTAACCATTATTATTTGCAATAGTTGATGCTTTACACTCCTGTTAATATGTTATATCGAGAAACTGGATTTACTGTTTTATAAACCTTTCAACTACATGGAAGTATGTATTAAAGCTTTTTGACTGTATTTATTTTTAAAAGGATTTCCAAATATTGCAGTAAATTTAACGACTAAAGAGAAAGTGGTTTGGTGAATTTTTCGAATTAGTTATCAAATATATTGTCTTGTCAGGAATTTATTACAAAAGCAACAATTTAAATACCATAAATTATTATAAGGAACTACCCATAAACTCAAATCAATATAATAATACGAACAAAATAGAAATTATAAGAACAATTTTTTAAGTAAGAGCTGAAATTTTAGACATTGTATGGATTAAATAAAATATTTATCTGTGCTCCCTTTGTAACATAAATGAAAATAATGGTTCTGCCCAAGTTTTAGCTTCATTAGAAAATACTTATTTGGAAAACTTCTAAGTTCAAAAGGAGAACTAATATTAATTTTAAAATCTGACAATTTACGCAATTTGTACTTGTTTACAAAAAAGGACTTAAAACTACAGGGGGATTTCTGAAACTAGAAAACTACGACTGAAAAGCATAAATAGGAGTAAATTATAAATGGAAGAAAGAGAGAAAACAATAAGTAATTTAAGCTCGCAAATGAAACTCCTGACAGGTTGCCCACACAACCAGTGTCATATTGCTTTAGTTAGTATAAGGAAAATTATGGGTTTTTTTGCCTTTTTATAATTAATTAGTATAGTTCTTCATTTATTCAATCACATGTTGTAAAAATAACCTTGATTCCATACTCAAACGCATTACTGTGAAGAAATTAAGACAATTATTTTTGTTATTTTCAAAGCGTCGACCTATCAAATTCGGGATAGTACATATAATCAAAAGTCTATTTTATATATACACACGGTTTGTCCCCCTGATTATTTTGTCTTGGGAAAACAATAAGGATGAATGTCAAGAATAGTCATAATACAATTAATTAAGGTTTTTAGTTGAGATAAAAAAGTCAATGGCACGAGCGGGATTCGAACCCACGATCTTCGGCTCGATACGCCACGATAGATCAAGTGGTAGAGCAACGGCGTATCAAGCCGAAGATTGTGGGTTCGAATCCCGCTCGTGCCGTTGGCTTTTTTATCTCAACTAAAAACCTTAATTAATTGTCATATATTAATTGGTGAAGCGGACCACGAAATTAGTGAATTTAAAAATGGTCATAATACACGAAAGTGATTTTTCAAAATGTATTATATTTATCATATGTGGCACATGAGTTAAGTAGCTATAAGTAAATTTGGTAAGTAAGGCAAATATTGATTAGAAATTAGATTATATTTTGTCAAGTCCAGATCAAGAATGTTTGAACCATTAAAATGAAACCAAAACCAATTTCATCAGTTAATTAAACATCACTTTTGTAAATAAAATGAAAACAAATATCAATATGACGATGAACATTGGTAGGTGATAATTTCTCCTCATTACACTCATGTCCACATTGCAGATAAAAAGGTTCAATAGAAATTTTTCCAGCTTTAAAATCATGTTGATCTTGTTTAGACGTTATGACTTGAAAGAGAAAAATAATTTTGAAATGAAAGGACTTAATATCACAAAAGAATATCTATACGTCGTGATTAACACCTAGTGTTAAGTCGAGTTTTAAAATTTGTTAGAAAATATTTTTACTGAGTTGCTACTAGTCGAGGAATTCGGTAGTTAGTTCGTTTCTGGGTCTTGGTAGCCTTGATTTAGCCCTTTGTGAGTTTACTTTCCAGATATAAATTAGATGTATCACAATTTTATCGGTTTGAAAGACACATGAGTCGAACAGGTCAAGAGATAAGAAGTCCATCCACTCGCTTGTCACCCAATCAATCAATCACTTTCATCAATCAATCAATTTCAGGTGCTAAATGTAATACGGTAAATGAAAATAAATAAATGACCCAGTGATGATCATTATTGATCAACTTACTGTTCAGCTTGAAACAATCAATGGAACAGGTAATCCGATATTTCCAGCTTGTAGAAAACAAATATTTGCTATAAACAACACGTTTGCTTTTCAGCTGATCCTTTAAATAATGCATGTTATTAGCAGGTATTGCATTTTATTTTGCATAAATATCCCAATGAATTCTAATTTTAAAATTATAGTTTAATGTTCCTTTTTGTTAAATCTACTATTTTGGTATGAAAAACATCAACCTATCATCCTTTGGAGAATCTGGATTTCCAATAGTAATATCTGAAAAATTATAATAAAATCAAATAAAAAGGGTTTCATAAAGTGCTTTATATTGTTTTTAAAAGATTATAAATATAAAAAATAAAAACAAAAGTAGCAAACGGGAGGACAGATGTTATTCATTGTTGGGGTGCTGTCACCACTCTCTCCATAAAACGAATCATGAAATAGCAGGCAAATAAACAATGTATGTGTATATGTATATCTATGTATATTGATTAGGCGGTTAAAACAATAAAATACAAGTAAATAAAAGGCGATGATAACGTAGTAGTTGTTCGCCTATTAAACGAAAAGAAAAAAAAGATATTCAGATTACACCAATCAAAGTATTTGAAATACTAAATTAATATTAATGATGTATTCTAAAACGTTAAAAAATAATTATTCAAAAATCGTGAGATGCGGTCTGGTGTGATGTAGGTTTCAGAAAAACATTTTCTTTATCTTGCCAACGTTTCGATCTTTAATGAGATCATCTTCAGGGCTCAAAGTGCACTCTCAACACGACACGCAAGAATGGCACAATTACACAGAAGACAAACACTTTGAGCCCTGAAGATGATCTCAATAAAGATCGAAACGTTGGCAAGATAAAGAAAATGTTTTTCTGAAACCAACATCACACCTGACCGCATCTCACGATTTATGAATAATTGTCGATTAACGGTCACTAATCACCACACGTTAAAAAATAAAATTTTAACAATTTATTTATATAGACCAATTTAACTTTTGTATTTTAACCAACGATGACTTCTAATGATTATACAAATACACATTTAAATCCTTTAAATCTTGTATATTATGCTTAATAAATGATTTTTTTTTAATATGGGTATAGTGTTTTAGTTGATAAATACCGCTTATCCAAACCCGAAACCCTATCTAGCCTAACCTAACCTTAACCTAACCCTCACCTATCCCGAACTTTAACCTAAGTCAAATCCTAAAATATCCATGTTCTAATGAAATATAAAAATAAATAATATAATATTTTATATTTTCTTACTTTTCTTTTTATGGATGAATTAATTTTTTTTTATTTCTAGGCCAATAGTTTATTTTTAGAAATCAAATGATTTAAACTATTTGAAAGTGGCGCAGGATACCGAAACATCGTAGATATGACGATTTTTTTAACCACCATCAAAAAAAGCCTATAAGTAAGAAAAATAAATTATCCATAAATTTTATAATTCTTATAATAATTGTTCATTATTTTATAAATAACTTCGTTTTGATTGATGATGATCAAAATCAGTAAATATTTACTTTTAGAAAAAGAAAAAACTCTATTGAAATCACAATAATAATTTGTAAAAAATCCTATAAAATAATACTCCAAACTGTACTCCAAAGAGGAAAATAAACGATTTAATCTTAAATAAATGGTGTTTACATGTAATAAAAAATTTGCTCTGATTTTATAGGAACATAATTTTGGCAAAATTTTCTGAATTAAAATTTTTCATATGCCCTACTAATATGTACTGCTAATATAATTTGTTTTTGAAGTTAATGTCATACCATCAGGTGCTTTTTATCGTGGTAATTTTATTTCGTTTTAAAGGATTCACGGCAATACTTTTCTAGTCTTATAGAAGTAAATCATTGGTATTTAATCGAAATCCATTTGCTTTCAATGCTTTGTATTAGTATATATCTATATTGTATATGGTTGTTAGAATGAATGTTTAATTTTGGGCAAATAAAAACAGTATGGGTAAAATATAACTTGTAATTCAAGAAAAAAGTTTGATTATTTTAATAAATGAGTGTGAAGTGCCAAAATGCCACACAGTGAGTGCTTCAATAGCGTGCTTATTTCTTCAATTTGCCACAGAAGGCTTTTTCGAATGCTTCAACGCCCTCTTGATTAGCCTCCTTGTAGCCAGGCATGGTGGTCTTGCACTTCTGGAGCCATTTGGTGACGTTGGCGTGTTTCGCCAAGTTGACACCGACGACCTAAACAGTTTTTTTTGAATAAATAAATTTTCAGTTATTTTTAGAGAAGAAAAACAACAAAACGTACCTCAAATGTTGATACAGATGCTGCCAAACAGAAGTCTGCGATAGTCATGTTGTCTCCAGCAACCCATGCTGTCTTTGCCAAAAATCCATCCAAGAAACCGAGAGCTTCATCCAATTTTTTGGCTTTCTCTTCATCATAAGAGGCTCCGCCAAATAGCATTGGATACTGTAAAAATGAAATTGATTATTATTTTTAAATATATTTTGCTTAAATATAAAAAATATGTTTTGCATTGTATAAATCCACTTTTTTCCACATCCTACATGTATTTGTTAAATTTAAACAATGTTTGTAAATCCCAGGCTCTGAAGATGATCTCAATAAAGATCGAAACGTTGGTACGATAAAGAAAATGTTTTTCTGAACCTACGTCACACCAGACCGCATCTCACGATTTCCGAATAATCATGGGCTAACGGTCACTAATCACTACACATTATTTTTAAAAAGAATTTATTTTTAGTCGGTATACATCAAACTACGTTCATTTTTTTCCCGATCACAAAGACCGAAGCCATCGCCGTTCAAGAGGAAGGCTTGGGCAATGGGGTTACGATGGATCGAGAGCTTGATGTAGAATTAACTTTTAGAAGAAGGTTAGGATCAACTCGTGGTGAGGTTACGATGTACTAAGAACCGTTGATTAGAAAGGTGGACGGCTGGTTGATCATGGTATCTTGTATCGTGTTTAAGTTAGGTGAGTTTTGTCAGTGAAAAAAAGTAAAGTAAGCGCAAAAAGATTTTGTAGCTGTCAAGTCTTCTGTTACGTTGTTGTATCTTAAATCTTGAGTAGGAATTTCACGTCAGTCTGCTGTCTAAAGTCCTAAGTATCTGACTTGAATAGAAATCCGTGTTGATAAGGTGTATTTGCCGGTGGAAGGCAACGTGCAAGACAAAGTTGCGGTGTCATTGTGGTAAAGGTGTATTTGGGATGTAGAGAAATGTCAGCAGGCTAAATGGTACGCAGGATGGTACCAAGTATCGCTGTGATACTTCACTCTAGGCAGCGGTCAGATGTCATGTTTTTTCTGACAAATTGAAGCAATTTTACCTTTCAAATGATAAAAATTAATATATTTCTATTTATATAAGTGCACTTACGTATAGATCGCCAAATCTTGCATAAAGGGTTCCCATGTCAAAGTACAACCTCGAGTCGACCATAGCTCTTTTTGCGGGATCTTTAGGGTAAAGGCTGTCGTCTTTAGCGTATTTATTTGCCAGGTAGCACATTATGGCTCGACTGTTACAAAAATTGATTAGCAAATCTTTTCAGTATTAATTAATATAACCATCTATTTACCTTTCTGTAAGTACTAAGCCATCATCAACGAGTGTCGGAACCGTGTGTTGTGGGTTTAACTGAAATCAATTAAATTTTAAATTATAATTGCCAAAATTTAATTTAAAAAATGGTACCTTGAGGAACTCCGGAGTTAAGTGTTCTCCCTTCATAAGGTTAGTGGGTTTCAAGTTCAATTCCACACCAACGGCTTTAGCTGTAAGAAGGACACATCTGCACGGAGCGCTTCCCGCTGTGTAGTAGTAATCGACCGTCATTTTGTCTATGGAATAAAAAATATATCAGTAAAAAAAATTATCACTAATGCCATAAATTTTTCGTAATTTATCCGGGAAAACATTTAAAATAATCTAGTTTCACGTGAATCATCGTTTAGAAGTTCAGTCCAACTCAATTTGTTTACATTTCTAATTGCATGCCATTAATCATGTTGGTAAACAATTAGACCGGAATGTGAAATATTTTCAATTTTTTATTTCTCTCGACAAGAGAGCTTTGTTAGAATGACGAGTTAAGAAAAATGTTCCCAAGAACTCTGAAGAATCTGTGGACAAGGTAAAAGAGTAGCAGGTTTCGTTTTTCCAAAAAGAAACTAGAAGCTTAATACGATGAATTCGGTAAAAATGGAACATCTTTTTTCCATCAGAAAGGATAAATTCTATAAAATGCAGTGTTTAAACTTGACAAACTAACTATGGTTGAAAGTCGTCCTTCATTTTTAACTGCAGTGCTAATTTATCTCGACGATACCTCAAGGCCTCTTATTTTGCCTGTGACTCCGCAAAAATTGTTGTTGTAATTTACCTTGACGGAGACATCTTATTATTAACATTTCTAACTGCTTTTTCCAATCGACTTAAAACAAAATTAGAATTTTGAGCTCGAGAGAAATTTTTAAATAAAATTTTGCTGAACTTATTTTAACCGTTTTTGTTTTTGTTGTTTTTTAAAAATTACTTTTAGGCCTTGTTTTAAAAGGTGCTTTATAGAAATTTAATACATTTCGGTATCCTGTGCAATTTTGAATTGCGTAAATTACACCATTTATTTGAAAACCGAAACATCGTACATTTGAATTTTTTTAAAGGCCTAGAAATAAAAACCAAATCTATAAAAAGTATGATAATGTATGATTAATTAATTACAATCTATATTATAAAAATTGTACAAAATTTAACAACAATAATATCTTGATTCAATCGACCCAATAGTTTTTTTAGAAAAAGATATTTTGGAATAAATCACTGTCGCTAAATCAATGGATTTTGGATTACAAAATCAATTGGTGCAAATATAAATTAACGAGTGACGGTCAAGGACGGTTTTATACACAAACCGAAGCAGTGATATCTATTTTTATAGATAAAAACATCATTATCATGGTCGTAAAATTTATTTGCAAGTTTTGTTTATCAAGCCCATGTATTTTGGGTAATTACAAATAAGTATCGATTCCCTTGGTTATTTATCTGCTGCAATCAGTGCCATAAAATCAGGTTTTTATTGTATATAAATATCCAGTAACGATTTCTAGGGGTTTCAGTCGATAATGTAGCACATTATGTGTATAGTATGTTGTGTCGCAATGTTTATTTAGTTTTTCATCAGATTAATAAACTTGTTTGCTTATGTTAATTAGTTTTGTAAAGTAAGTAAAAAAAAGTTGATTCTGTTAAGTAATTATATATTAAACGCAATTATACTTTATTGGGGGAGGGGGTAGTTAGTTTTCTTCTCTTGTATTTCGATCTGTTCAGTGAACATAGTAACAATTGAGAAAAAAAACATCTGAAAACAAATGTAATTTTGTATTTGTAATTTATTTGATCAATATGTCGCCTATCTCCGCTTTGATTTTGGTGAATACATAAGGATAATATTCTTGTTCTAATATTGCACTGGGCTCTAGGTTCTTCTTCTGACTCTTATTCGCTCGCATTGTATCCAAATGTCCGTACAAATCATCGAGGCATCGTCGGACTTTGTTGGAGATTTTGTGTGGTATCACTAAGAGGATTGGTTGGAAATTTGCAGGGAGGCCATAACGCAAAACGCTTTCGACGAATACCCTGCAGGATTTGACGTGTATAAGAGCAATGAAACATTCGCTGAAATTAGATATGCAAAATTTCAAAAACGGCTGGTAGAGCTTTTGTTTTTCCTGATACAATTCGTATAACTCACGCCTGAACTCGAATATCTCCTGTTCGTTATATACGAAATCCCGGACGAAAAAACCGCTTTGCTTAGCTGAAAGTTTGAACGGCTCGATGGACTTTTTGAAAAGGGTGACTGTGAAAAGGGCGTGTTCGTTATCTTCCTTAACCAATTTAGTACTCTTGGGGACGATGTCTTCGTTCAACCTTTCGTATTTGTTCAGCCAAGACTCTTTCGCCGTGCATGGTACGACAACGACGAGTGTAGTCAAGAATTCGGATTGCAAGACGAAATCCTCTTTCGAAACGTAATCTCCGATGTATTTGGTGAGGAGGTTCCCTACGCGCTTTTTTTCGCTAGCTGCATAATTGTTAACCACAGTGTTGTACGATTTTGTCTTTGTGTTCAAATCCACGTCGCATATAGACATTTGTTTTTCGATCAAGTAAGCTATCGTTTTTATTGACTGTCTCGTCGGGTATTTCGCCATGTCCCATTTGAAAGTGATGAGGTAGTGGTGCAGAGTGACATTGTCGGCGTGGATGCTTTCAACGACCTCCTCGCGTTTATTTTCCAAAAGATCGTCCAATTGGGCGGCGATTTTATTGACCGTGTTCTCGACGTTCGTCTCCAATCTCGCCAGATCGTCGGATACCAAAAGCAACTGGTCCAACGTGCCGGCCTTCAGAGTCGGAATGTAAAACTTGAAGCAAGCGCAATCGTTGTACTTGGCCAGAGCTTGGACCAGCTTTCTCCATGTATCGTCACACGTGGGATCTGCCGGCACGGAAATTATCCAATAATCGAACATGCTGGCAAACTGCCGCGGCAAAACGAACCGTGCTCTGACGAAATTAGAAGAAGTGAGCCACTAAAACGTATAATTATGAATATCGAAATAATGCATGCCTCTAGAGGCATGTACAGTATTTTCACCTGATGGTCATCTGATTGTGCGGAAATTAAAAACAAATTGAAAACTTCCAGTGAATTTATTTGTTACTTGGTAACGGTTTTATCTGAAAATTCAGACAAACTATTTAGGTAAATAGAATATACTTTAAGATAATTGACAATTTTGTACAATTTGAAGCTTCATGTGACAAAAATGCTTTCACTATAGTGTATTTATTATAAAGGGTAACATCATATATACACAATATCGACATCAAGCTTCGTCCAACACTACTTTTTTACTATTTCTACAACCTAGCACCAAAAACATAGTACCAAATAAATACTCTATCACTAAATAACAAAATATGAAAAACAAAACCCCGCAAAATTACGAAAATATACAGTTACAAGGGATGACCAGATTGTTGAGTCACACATTTGGACCAGACTTTTTTGGTAATTCTATACTCCAAAATATCGAATTTCTATTCGCCCCTTTTTGTAAATATTTGTTACGCATTTTTTAAATATAGATTGCAATAAAAAAAGCTATCAAAGTTTATCAATAATCAAAAAAATTCTAAAAACAAACTATTTTTCAAGTAAACTTGGTCATCAATTTTTTTGTGAAGCTATTATGAAATTTCTTTGAGCACCTCCACTAAATATAAATTGTTGTTTGAATTTAAATTTATCGATTTTTTGAACACTACTATTTTTTCCGATTTTTGAGAAATCGTTATCGGAATATCTGATTGGAACGGCTATATTTCAAAAACGGCTAAAAGGATTAGAACGTCAATTAGAAAGAAGAGGAACATAGATTTTTTACAACCATAAAAATAAATGAAATATTTCTATAAGAAAATACACAAAATTGCAATATAATTTTACCAAAATTAATCTCTTCTTTTTTTAAAAATGGAAATAATAGTCCGATTTTTATGTTTGATATAGTTATAAAATACACCTCTCGATTTCTTTAAAACGAGTTATCAACTTTGCAAATTGGTCCACTAGCTTTTGAGAAAAACGATGTTGGAGCTTGCACTAGGAATAGACTGTCAAGGCCACCGAAATTATCAGTCAAAAAATTACTTCCACGAATGTCGTTATCTAAGGGTTATATAACGCTAGAATAACAACATTGAGGCCAAATCCAAATTTTGACCATTTTCTGGCCTAATTTGCTTGCAAAGTGTTCGTTAAAATAAGCAAAACACAATGTTTTGTTGATATTTCTTTTCAAATCATATACAAATAGAATATTCTGCATCATATTCGTAGAACATTTTTGTTTTTGTGTTAACCGATAATGAAATTAATGCACCAAGATTAATTTTTTTTAATTCAGGCGAAAATTAAATTTTCTCTGAGTCTAACATACGAAAATGAGCAGACTTGTTTCACACCCAATAATAGCTTTTAAACACAAACATTATATATATATATATATATATATATATATTNTATATATATAATACAGTTAATGTTGCTATCGAAATTTTGGAATTTTTGAGAATGCTAAATAAATTGCCTGAGATTGCTGTTTCCAGTGGCGGATTCAAAGGGGGTGTCAAAGGGGAATTACCCCCCTCGCCTGGAACCAAGAGAAAATGTTATGTGTTGTATTATGTCATAGTTCAGCCTTAATTAAGCAAAGAGGCTTATATTTCAGAATTATAAAACATTGATCTGTTTCCACTGATAAACCTTCTCTAAATTAAATCAGCTTCCTTTCAACTGGTGACGCTTTGACTTTGTTTTCCCCCGTTTCGATACTTCGTTCATTCGATTTGATATCAAGAAACCTGTAAGTTGACGTTTAATTTTAGGTAGTTTTCTTTCAAAAGCGGCCGCATTTTTGATCGCATTGCAATGAAATTTGGCAGGGTGGTAAAGAATCCTATAAGAACGGTTGAGATTGTTTTTCAGTCAAATCGACTGAGGGTCGCAGATTTAAAGGCGATGAAAGTAAAAAATTCAATCAAAATTTGTGCCATTTTTGCTTTTTCTCCTGCTCAACAACCAGCTCGATTTGTTCAATTTCACTCCTTCCTAGTGGAAGGCGCCCCTCATTGTTGGATTTTCAAATTTTTGGTACCGATTTAAGCTGGATTCTCCCTGTAACTTGTAAGCTCGGTTTGGCTCAAATCCAAGCAGTATTTTAAATGTTATCATAATTTGAAAAAAATTCCCATATTATCGGGATTTTTTCTCAAATACGGTGATTTCAAACTTTTCTTTCGTATAAAAGATCAAATTAATTTCTTTTTTTATAATAAAATGAAACTGTAGGCGTTTCTTAATTTTTTGTTACAAATATGCTAAGATTTCTTTTAATTTAACGGAGAAATCACGGTAAAAAGCAAAAGTCCTTAAAATTGTGTATATTATTAATAAATATAAATATATTTTCAGTTTTTCCCTTTGAAGGAGGAGAAAGTATTGCGTTGGGCCGAAAAACGATGTGTGGAGTTTTCTTTCGATTGGCACGTATGTACCTTTAAAAAAATCGAAATTTTACCCCCCTCCGGATGACCAACCTCGATCCACCCTTGGCTGTTTCAATGTGTTATCTTTTTTAATTTAAAAAATAATAAGCTTATATTCATAATAATGTTTACATATTCCAAGCGTGGTAAGCAAAGACTTTTTTTTACCAAGTGGCTCTCTTTCATTTCTTTTCTTGGTTGGAAGGGAAAGAGGAGTTGGAGGGAATGATATAGGACAGCTTCCCTCCTCGTTTCATTAGAATTTACTATTACCCCGTTTAATTTACATAATTGTTTAATTTTTCGATTAACGGCATTCCTTGGGACGAAAGACGAATGATTTCGCGTGGGAAAAAACCTTGCTGTCAACACCCGGCTGGTAAACGGCGAGGCAACTTGTGCAAACCGCGGTCATGCTAAAACGGAAAATGTTTTCCTCTGTTGATGAAGTGAAAGTAGGTTGATTTTTCAACGTGGGCGGCAGACCGTAGACACCAAGGCCGTTAAAAAAATTCGGCTTTTTAATTCTTAAAACGTAATAAAATAAAAATTATCAGAGAAACAGGTCGATTTTGCGACATTTAACTATATCATAGTTTATCCAATATTTTTGTGTTATAATACAAGGGAATATAAATCATAAAAATATACTGACATTTACTCAATAACGAATGTATAAAGGAACGTGTAAGATATTCCCAGGTAAAGAAGAGAACGTGATGATTATGGCCTTTGGTATAACAGGTGAAACATAATCATCAACATTGCATGTAAATTGATGCAGATCCCGACTGAGTGAAATCACAGAACCATTATCATTTGATTTCAACTGAACGTGATTCATAAGGAAGTAAATTTTTCAAATGTTACGAATATTCTCCTTTTGAAGCAGAAATAATCCAATATCTTTTCTAATGTACAAAATATTTTTAAATAAGTTTATAACTAATGCTATATAACATTTTGTATACGTCTTGGCCTCACATATAATTTATGAGCAAAAAAGCAAAAGTTTGTGCCTAGCTTTAATATACCCTTCCTTGATAAATTATCCTTCGGGATGAACGACCCAGACCCCTTACAAAATTGATAAGACCCATATAAAAACAGAGCTTTTTGTTTATTATTACGATAAGGTCCGTAACTCTAAGAGTAAAAACTCATATTTAATAATATTTGGGGAAAGAAAACACACAGACAAATATTTCAAATAAAGTTATGTTTTTGTACGAGAAAGCAATAAGGGTCACTTAGGTTTAATTAATGTTTTATACTTAGATCGTTCTGTAAAAAAACTGTCATTTTTCTGTTTGCATGATAAATAATTCCGATCGCCTCTGCTTTTTATTTGACGCAACTACCCACTCCAATATGAAGACTGGAGGCAACAATTTTGTTGTTCCCTATCAGAAAGTTGGTTATGCTCGATTTCTCGACGCTTTGCTGGAAAGTGATTTAAACAATTCCATTTCCGTTTGTTATTTGCTTTCAAAACTTGAATACGATCGTTTTTAGTAGCCGTAGTAACTACTCCAGTACCAGGATGAAAATTGTATCGAATAATTGCAACTGTCGGACTGTTTTTGAAAAGCTAAAGGACCCCAAATAAGTCCTGAAGTATGGTACATTTTACAGTATAATTCCTAAACAGAAGGTACAGAGTATTCTAAAAAATAAAAACATGTCAACATTAAAATGCGTCCAGTAGAATTGTTAAAATACGGGAAAACTTGGGGAATTCCGAAATATCGAAATTAATAATGTTCCTCGATTTAAAGAACTTCAGAAACTGTGTTATGCCGGATTTTTCAATATTTTCCTGTCAAAATATGTAAGAGCTTGCATCTCTGTTCTTCATTTACTTTCAAAATTTCAATATAATCGTTTTTATTATCTATAAACAAAAGTAGTTACTCTAGAACTAGAATGTAGGAAAATCGTATCAAAAAATTGCAATTTTTGTACAACTAAAAGATCCCGAACAATTTCTAAAATACGATGCAATACCTAAATAGAAGGTAAGATTCTTCTGAAAAAAATTGTGATTAAAATCATCCAGCAGAATGGAAAATTACAGGAAACCTTGGAGAAAAAGACGAACGGATCATCAAAACTATTCGACGATGTGTAATATATTAATAACGCCGTTTCCCACATTTAAAAAATCGCACGAACTTAGTTATGGTCGATTATTTGCTTTGAAATCTTTCATATAATCATTTTCAGTACGTCAATGATAAGTATATGCAACTATCAGGATGTAGAAAAATGGCAAGTTCTGGCCTCTTTTTGAACAACTAAATGACATCGAATAATTTCTGAAAAATGGTACAATTTTCGTGTACAATACCTAAACAGAAGCAAGAGTCTTCTGAAAAATAAATACGTTTCAAAATTAAAATGCATCCAATAGATTTGG